CACTCGCCTATGAATCCTCACAAGGCACCCCGACCTTCGCCACCTGTATCTCCGTCTTTTCTTCACACGAATGACAGGCATTTGGGCCTGGTCTCCAGGAAGCAGTATATCCTTCGCGCCGGACTCATTAAAGAAAAAATCTTCGTCCAGTTCGAGGTGAGTAATCGCAGTTCTGATGTCCAGAAGCTCTTTTCGGTCATCAGAGATGGTAGCAGCAACTTTATGTACAAAATAAGTTACAAACAATGCGAAAAAACAAACAAAATAGCGCAGTTAGTTAGGAGTCCGTAAAAAGGCAGCCATCCCCTCCGGCGCCATTATCTCCATATTAACGTTCTGATCCTTGATCTGTTTTTACAGCCAATGTGTACCGACTCGAGCCCTATCGTTTCAAAATTGTTGCACTTGTTGTAAATATTAGCTACTAGCTAGCAAGCCAGCCTAGCTACAATAATAGCTAGTAGGCTATGGAATTTATCCCCTCATTTGGAAATTTCACCTGAAATAATTTGAAAGGAGGATCTTCTACTGTAAGATTATTAACGTTTTTGAGGATGTATTGAAGTCAAGTGCCTATTTTGCTTGTAAACGTGCAAACCTAGCAAGCAAATTGACAGCTAGCTAATGTTAGCTACTAGCTAAAGATTTGCCAATAACTGTGTTGTTTCCTATAGCTATAACATTAGGCTTCTAGCTGTAAAATATTGAACACAAGCTAATTTGGAAATTGTCATTGGACTAATGGAGGGCTGTTGTTTGGGAGTTAACATTTGTATTGCTTGGTGTCTTGCAAATCCTGGCATGATTTTCAATGACACATTTAGTACACGTGTAGATTTGACAGTATGTGGTGGTCGAGGTCAACATCATTCTCTCTCACCTCACGGGCGTGACCGCATGTGTGCACGTGTCCATGTATGTGCACTTGCATATGTTCCAAAGATTGCAAGCACCCCTATGCAATGACTAAACTACCCCATGGCTACTCCAGTGAAAAATGCATGCTGCCTGTCCCAAAAGCAGCATTTCTTTATATAAACATTGTATATGTCACTTTATATGTAACATTATATGAACTTCAGAATGAACACTGCTCAGTGGTCAATCTTACAGTAAGTAATATTTCCCCATTATTTTCATTATTTCATGAAAGGGCAAATAGCCTGAACCAAGATTGGACATAATTACTTGCTTAGAGTATATCAATAAAAAGCAATGAGCCATAACATTAGATCACAACCACATCATTATCTACAGGGTATTTCCAATTTCAATAAAACGGAATCCATTCACCAAATTGATACATGAATATCACATATTAACATGTCATTATCCATGACCTTGGGCAATTACTGCAACCAGAATATAAGTCACCCAAAGTCATCATTCCTGTAATGGTGGACCACCCGTCATTCTGTAGGTTGGCTTTGTGACAGGAAATTATATCATTGTACGTCCTGTGACTTTGCACGTCTGATAACACAGGCAACTTGCCCTTTTTCAACATCATGAAAGAACAGTTGTAATGGAAAATCGAATGGAAAAGTGAACTGGATTATTGAGAGAGGGTCTGTTATTTCTAATATTCTAGAGGACCGTTTCTGCGAACAATGTCTGCTTTGACTTGGACTATTGAGAGTCGTTTGCTGTTTGCCAGAAGATACATCAGTAATGGAAGGTCACCTTTCTTACCTTTCATAAACTGGACTTTTCTCCTGTGAATATGGCACTAGAAACAGAAAATGGTCCTGTGTGGCTCAGTCGGTAGAGCATGGCACTTTCAATACCAAGAGTTGTGGGTTCGATTCCTGCTGAGGCCACTTATACATAAAATGTATGCATGCATGACTGTAAGTTGCTTTGGCTAAAAGCGCCTGCCAATTGGAATATTAAAAGTAGAATGATAGAAATAAGCTAAATAAGTTGCAGTAGTTGATAGTTCACTCAATGAATCTGAATTACTAAAACAGTACTGCTAAACATTTACATTTACATCATTTAGCAGACACTCTTATCCAGAACGACTTACAAATTGGTTCATTCAACTTGTGATAGCCAGTGGGACAACCACTTTTTTTTCATGGGGAGGTGGGGGGGGGGGGGGGGGGGGGTGGTAGAAGGATTACTTACTATACTATACCAGGTATTCCTTAAAGAGGTAGGGTTTCAAGTGTCTCCGGAAGGTGGTCAGTGACTCCGCTGTCCTGGCGTCGTGGGGGAGCTTGTTCCACCATTGGGGTGCCAGAGCAGTGAATAGCTTTGACTGGGCTGAGCGGGAACTGTGCTTCCGTAGAGGTAGGGGAGCTAGCAGGCCAGAGGTGGATGAACGTAGTGCCCTCGTTTGGGTGTAGGGTCTGATCAAATCAAATCAAATCAAATTTTATTGGTCACATGCGCCGAATACAACAGGTGCAGACATTACAGTGAAATGCTTACTTACAGCCCTTAACCAACAGTTAAGAGCCTGAAGGTAAGGAGGTGACGTTCCCCTCACAGCTCCGTAGGCAAGCACCATGCATGGTCTTGTAGTAGATGCGAGCCTCAACTGGAAGCCAGTGGAGTGTGCGGAGGAGCGGGGTGACATGAGAGAACTTGGGAAAGTCGAACACCAGACGGGCTGCAGCGTTCTGGATAAGTTGTAGGGGTTTAATGGCACAGGCAGGGAGCCCAGCCAACAGCGAGTTGCAGTAATCCAGACGGGAGATGACAAGTGCCTGGATTAGGACCTGTGCCGCTTTCTGTGTAAGGTAGGGTCGTACTCTGCGAATATTGTAGAGCATGAACCTGCAGGATCAGGTCACCGCTTTGATGTTAAACAATTTTGTTTATTAACCAAACTAATTTAAAACTATATTTAGCAATGTGATGTTGGTGTTTGTATGCTATCAGGAGTCCTACCACACTGTTTTGTACTGAATAATGCTAATGCTAAGCAGTAGCTAGTTAAGTAAACAAATCCAAATCCTGTGTTGCTGACATACTTCACAGGTTAGATGAGGCTTGACCTTAAATTAATTTACATTAATTTATGAGTAATTGTCTGATATGGTGTGTTTATATCTAACAACTGAACATGCTTTCGAAATACAAAAAATTAACGATATTTGGCTTTCAAGTTGTTATTTGTCGTTCAGATGCTGTTGTCAGAGCGCAACAAAACTGTGGACCATCTTCCGCTTCACTGAGGTATTTTAATCAAATCGACCATAAATGCAAATATTTATTTTACCCTCCCTGTGTCTCAACTGTGTGCATCTATTTAAATGTAAATGAGACGGCTTGCTCGTCTTTTACCATCTTCAATGAGGTCTCCACTCCTTTTCAATTTGATGGTGACTGTTGATCCTTACTATAGTTTGTCCAAGCCTGTTTTATCCATTTCACAGTTAGCTCTTGTTAAATCTAATCTGATCCTTGTATGAAAACAGACCACCGCTGTTCATTTCTGCACAAACTGTTGCACTCCAAATCTCACACAGCGCCTCAAGACCCTGCATGTCTTCTAGCATGCACAAAGTAGCACAAAGAAGAAGATACAATCTTTATCTTATTACGCTAATTCATGTAAATTACCTCTCAGAACCCAGCAAACAAGGACAAGACGATAAACTTGAGGAAGCTATTCAATCAAAACCTGTATTCAGGGTTCTGGCAAAACCACATTCCTTTACTCTGAAAATGTGCTTGGCTTAATTGAATCTACAAAGACAATGTTTATTACTGTACATCAATACGAAGCAGGTTTGTTTGAGGCTATGGACAGATCAACAGGTTTGGTTGAGGCTATGGATCACAACATTAACATTATTATTCTGCTACAGGTGGCAGTGTGCACACATGGAGGGGGTGAACGGTGAATATGGAGGTATCGAATGTACCTGAGTGCATGCATCTCATTTAAGGGCTTAAGATGGAGGGCAGCATATGAACAAATGGATAAATAAATTAGATCTCACCTGCGTTCATTGTATATTAACCCCCTGCGCCCCGACTCATCCATTATAATTCTCTCTAACCTGAGGCGCAGCGTGACATTGATTTACCTCGCACAGAGTAATGAGCTGCTCTTGTTTCATTAACAATGATAAAATGACTATTCTCCTGAAACATTGACTCACTGTGTGAATAATGCAGATTATTAATATGCCATAAGGACCAGACCGCCTGTTCAGAAAACAAGAGTTTGTACAGTGGGTGGGGGAAAAAACCTGAGGTACTGTACATTGAGTAGCCTATCATCATTTTGTGGTGTCTGTCACGTGTTGAGTACAGTATATCTGGCACTGGTCTCAAATGCCTGTCCTGTTGCCTACATAAAATACATTAAAAAGGAGAACCTGTTTTGCACGGTTTGCGCTCAATGCCAAGGATCGAATTTCCGTGCCTGAAGCACCCTCCTTCACCGAACAGAGAGGAGACATCTGCTTGCACTTATGAACTGGTTCAGTTTGCATAAAAGATACTGAAATATATGAGGGAAAATATGGAAAAGAGACAATCAGGATGGGTGAATGTTCAGAGTTCGAAGTTTCTCTCCAAGCTAAGGGGCAGTAGTAACTTACTGTTGGCTCTTTAATCAGGATAGACAGACTACAATAGCGTTCTATTCTGAAACTTTCTTACATCCTGCCATTTTATGATGGTCTTAAATCTTTATTTTTGCACCAGACCTTTGTGCCTCTTTGGCTTTACCTACAGAACATTGTTCCTCTTTCCCTCCTCTCTCTCTCTCTCTCTCTCTCTCCCTCTCTCTCGCTCTCTCTCTCTCTCTTCCCTCATTCTCCCTCTCTCAGCCTCAACACAGATGGTGCTCATTAATAAAGAAAGCCAGCCCTTCACCCTCTTGTATTTGAGAGAGTGGAAAAAGGCTCCAGTGAATGAGAATCATCTGGCCGAACGCAGAATCAATTAGCAGCAGATTGTCTCATTCCCGTTAATTATGCTAAAATATGTGTTAAATGAAGGAAATTAACATTGCAAACAGAATGTATTGTAACTGCTTACCGCTGGAGTACGTGTCCTGAAGTTAAAGAAAGGTGGGAATGAACTGGCCTGTGAAGCAAGGGTTGTGTTCCAGGGCTTGTTTTTAGCAAGGCTAGGGGAGGAAAGTTCAAAGGAAAACGCGCTTGTCATCAATCTTTTACTACAGTAGTGTTAAACATGGTTTAAACAGATCTTGCGTAAGCACCATGCAATATCGCACAGTCTTGCATTTGATGGAAGCAGTTGAAGCTTTTTTTAGTATCATTATTGCCATGTCATGTTTTCCATTAGCACATAGACACAATATGCTTTGAATGAGAAAACATGAGAAGTTATCGTCATAGATGTGAGGTAGATCACTAAGGAAGGCTCACATATGTTGATGCCTTACCATACCTCAGACCTGAAGACCCAGCCAATGTTGTTCAATAATGGGATGGTTACATTGGTGCAGTGACCTCGATCACAGGAAATGAGTTTGAATACGATTTGAAACAATATACTTTCTACAGATCACTACAGACATGTCTCTTCTATAATAATGACTCACAGACGTTGTTGGAGTTCTATGATGTCATTTTGGAGGCCAGAAATTGGGAAAAACTATACTGTACAACAGGAAACGAAACTACAGTTATTTTCTCCTGCTCCGTGTATGGCTGGCCAGAATTCACCATGACTAAGTACAACACGTCGTCGAGGAGAACTCTGGGGCGTGGTGTTTCGCAGCTTAAGATTGCGAGTCACGATTTGGCTCTGAGTGAGCTATGATAGCGGCCGTGCGTTATCTTGTTAAGCGACGCCTGGGGTGCAATCTCTTGGCAAAGCAGCGCCGTCGAAGTAGCTCACACTGGGGGCTTGATAGGCCCTCAGCTATTGGCCGTTTGATTGTGGAAAGGTCAAGCAGTGCTTTGTGGCGGCATCTCACATGGGCCCGCTGTTTGGAAGACGGGAACGTAGGAGAGACACTTGAACCGAAAGAAAACAGAGATGAGGATCGATAGAGGACAAGAGGGAGAAGATGAGCCCAGGAGGATAACTAATCAGTCTGTGTTTTTCTATTAAGAGTTCCCCAAGGAACTTCAGAGTCCTGTTGCTAAAGAGTGGTGACGCTACTTCATCTGGTAATTGGCCAAGAAGGGGGGTATCTTTGGTCTTTTCTTTACCACTTTCTCCAGGGTTTGCCAATTCGTATTCTTCTCATGGTTAACGAAGTCACGAACAAACCAGATTAGTAAATGATCAATAGACATTAGTAATGTTAGCAATGTACCTGTGCTGGATGCGCAGACTGAAAACATGAGAAGGAAATCTTATAATGGAGAACAGATGAGAGGCCCGTGAAACAGTTGTGCTAGCCCATTAGCATTACTACAATAACCAGAGACAGCAGAGGGCCATTGAGATTGCTCCATTAGCCCTTAAAAACTGGGTTAATATCATAATAATAATAATAATAATAATATGCCATTTAGCAGACGCTTTTATCCAAAGCGACTTACAGTCATGCGTGCATACATATTTTTTTTTTTTTGTGTATGGGTGGTCCCGGGGATCGAACCCACTACCTTGGCGTTACAAGCGCCGTGCTCTACCAGCTGATCATCCAACTGTGATTACAGTTGTGATTACAGGAGTTACATCTGAAAGCTACAGGCCCATGGGGCTGAATCCAAACTTGAACTTTGTGTTCGTAACTCAAACATTTGCGTGAGTCATAGACGTGCGTGTCTTTGTGAGAGAGAAAATCTAGGCCTCATGTAACGGTCATTATAGAAAATCTAATTCTCACAGAACCCCAGATGAGACGTATTCACAACGACTACAGGTGGTCGGATATGGTTGCATAAGGGGTAATGTTGTGGTCCATTAGAGATGGTCAATGCAGATATGACTGCCTGCGATGTATTGAAAGTGCAAATCACAGTATGCTTCAGCAAGCAAATAGCTCAAACAGGGGATGGTGTGGGGGAAAAATAGAAAATAAGAGAAATGGTAGAGAAACCCATCTCAATGCACCCTCAATTATCCCATCTCCCCTTTATCAGTCTCCCCAGGTTACCAGTTTTTGCCTCGGCATGAGGTAACTGCAGCATTCACTGCTATCAAACCCCATTTGCTGAACACGACTCCACCATCTTTTCTAACAACCACCATTCCAGTCCTCCCCATCTCCTCTGAAAGAACAGAAATGGTTCAGATCAACATGGAGGGAGGGACCAGTGCTGGATATTTAGGGTATTAGGTATAATTAAGTATAGTGTCTCTGCTCTAATTTCATTTACTATTTACTTATATTATAGCACATATTAGTTGTTATCATTTGAGGGAACTTGAATCATTTGAGGGAACTTGTATCATGGCAAAGTATTGATCATTCTCTAATCCCCTCTTTGCATAATCCTCCAGGACATCTGATTTCATGAAATATAGAAAAGTTCTCTCTAGTTTTTTTGAGAGAGATGAGTGAATCTCACACCAGTCAGAGCAGCTCTTTGGGAAGTGGTGATGTAGCGACACGGACAGAATCGAGCGATAAGCTCATGGCATTGAAGCCAAAATCAAAGAGGCCACTTTTAGTGGAAGCTTTATTTGTTGTGAAATTATCAAACACTGATTGATACATTTCTGAAATTATCTTCCCTCTGAACACTCACTAGAAGTCAATCAGCACAGGTCTGAAAGTCTGTTCTTTGATTAAAATAGGTTTTATGCTAGGCAAAAACGTTTGTATTATCATGCATCACAGGGAAGAGAATTGTCAGAAGTGGCAAATCCATCATATTGATTACCTTTTGTAAAATCTTGAGGGACGATCCTTAGATTTGGCCATGTTAAACCACCCCAGCTCTCTAACAAGTTCAATTTCTTAAATGCATGAACTGTTTAATGTTTTTTGACAAGCATCCATTAACAAAATGTACAAAAAACAAGAAATATTTTCAAAGAATATATGCAGACATTCTTTTAAACTACAAAACAGCTCATCAACATTAGACTGCAATTTACTTTAGGTAAAGACACTCGAAACAGTGGCTGAGAGCTCATGTTTGATTGAAACAGCAGTTATGAATACTTTGATGATGTATTCACTCTGTATTCTACAGTACAGACATGTCACACTGTAAACCAGAGCTATTTCCACTATAGACAAAAGCTTTATTTGTGTTTTTTCCTTTTACCCCCATAGCTTTCCTATGTCAAAACAAGAACATTTCATATGAAATCAAAACAGGTTTCATCCACATTAAAACCAACTAAAAAGGAATTGATCTGATAACCACACCATGTTCTTCACCTTTAAAAATAATTATTACAGGACTACAAGTACCAGAATGCCTTGTGATACAAGCAGGAAAACAACAACAACAATAGCGAACGGCTGACTTCTCTACACTTGTTTGACTGCGGAGACTGTCCCATCATCGATCTAGTAATTCAAGGGTCTACATTATAATTTCATATCACATATGAATAATTTCTGCTTTTTTGAAAAGTAAAGTAAAAAATAACATGGAATAAAGTAAAATATAAAAGTTGTATTTAGCTAACTTTTTTAAAATGTTGTTTATTTCTGAGTTCCTTCGGATGTTGTAGGCCAGCTCTCTGTGTAGCATCATGATCGTAGAGAGGAGCGTTCCCTCACAAAGCCACAACATGATTCTCATACACTTCGGTCCCCCTGAAACAGAAGAGTCCATTTTGTGAGCGAAAGTGCTACTGAGATTCCAAACTCCTACTGGAGTTTTTTGGGGCCATCCATCTACCCATTGCTGTCCCCTTTAAGTGTACATGGAGGCCCGGGTCCCTTAGGTTGCACAGTGCATGAGGAGTTCACATTGTCCATTCCCTCAATCTCCACAATGTTCCAGCGGCCCCACAGCCATAGTACTGGGACTCAGACAAGGGGACCTGACTTAGCAATGGGCATGTGTTACACTGCAAAAACGTCACGTGGTGAAAACTCACATTCAGCGCATGAGAGAGACAGAGAGATGGGGGGGTAGAGAGAATGCTAGAGAAGAAAATGTGGGAGAATGAGAGAAGGGAGGGATGGGGAAATGAAAAGCTAAACCTGAAATTCACAAAACACTTCACCACCACAGGATGTCCCCATTCTACTCAGCACCGCAGCTTGAGACGGAGACTCGTTTTGAATTCAGCACCAGTGGAAAAAAAGGCAATTTTTGAAACGGTTCATTTGTTTGTTTTCTTAAGTAACATTCTTTTTTTTTTGTATGACAAAAAGATCCTCTTTTTTAAAAATCTACACTGCCCTGTCCGTAAGCAGGTTAGCATTTTTCAGCATGAATCTTGTTCTGGAGGCAGCTCTGCAGTGGTCACTAGCTGGCACAGCCACAAAGTCATAAAATCTGATTTTAAACCTAACCCTAACCTTAACCACACTGCTAACTGTAATCCCTAACCCTAACTTTAAATTGCATTTTAGTTTTCATGAATTTTTACAATATAGCCAATTTTGACTTTGCAGCTAGCCTATCTAAGGGGAAATTGCTCAGTTCTGCCACCAGGACAAGACTCCTGACAAACTTCAACCTCCTGTCTGTGATAGGACCCCCATGGCATGATCCGGAGGGTCTACACAGAGCTCTATGGCTGTTTACAACCTCGTTGGAGAGCCACAACGCCGCCGTCCTACCCCCCTGTTCCCCTGGTATAAAACTTCAGCAAGTGTCTTTGGCAGATTTACAGAAAAGGTCCTCATCTACTCTGGATTGCTACTGCTAGAAATTGCCAGGATGTTAGAGACTGGTCAGAGACACACAAGAAGAGAGGAAGAGAGATAGAGAGAAAGAAAGAGAGAAGTATAAGAGCGTCTGCTAAATGAAATGTAAATGTAAAGAAGGTTCAGCTATGATCTATCACTGCAGGAGTCAACGTGACAAAGAAAGATACTACGATATAATACACTGTAACAGAATGAACATGTACAGGTGGGACACTATTGAGCATTATCAAAGCACAAAGACTCATAGAGAAACGCAAACAGTCCGAAGATGGACATGGGAGGGTCCTTAAGTGGAGAAGACGTCGCTGTCGATGACAACGGTCACTGTCGACCATCGGCAATCAAGACGTGTGGGAGAGGAGTTCGTCCTCCACTTAGTTTGTTTCAAACCCACCCCCTCCACTTCCTGCACATCCCAGCGCTCATCGGCAGCTGGGAGGCTGTTTTTGTAAGGTCTTTAAGGGACTCCTTCCTGGTCCCTAGGACTACTCCCCTTAATCGCCCCCTGGACTTGAGCTGTGTGCTGAGGGTCAGAGGCCAGTGGTCATGAAACAGGGGTTCCGCTGAGGAGTTGGAGGGAGGAGGGTTCTGGGTGGGTGGGGGAGGGAGGGAGGGAGGGAGGGGCAGTATGAGTTTACAGTGTCCAGGAGGTGCCTGTCAAGGGGTTCGGGGTGGAGGGTGGAGGAGAATGGACTGGTATGGGAGAAGGAGAGGACGGGGGATGGGGTGGGGTGGAGGCGTGTCACTTTCTCCCTTATAGGGGGGCAGAGGCGGTAGATTTGAGGGGAAGTCGGTTGGGGCTGGGGGTGGAGGGATTCTGGTGGGGGGCTCGTTAAGGGGGGTACGGCCGGCGGGCCCAGGATGCTATGAGCAGGACAGGAGTAGCGTGAGCAGCATGGCCAGCATAAGGGAGAGGCACGGAGCGGCCATGTAACAGCCACCGGTGCTGTCGTCTGTCAGGAAGGGCTCCGGGGACTCATACACTGAGTCATCTGATAGAGAAAGAGAAAAAGAGGGGGCGAGAGAGTGAGAGAGATATATGGAGAGAGAAAGAGTGGTTATGCTTCAAACAGGTTCCATGCTAATACAGTCAAATCCTTGTGCAGTTTCAATCTGGCTGTATCTGGGCTGTGTTAAATTGCTGGGAAAAGCATACATTGACGCCTTTTAGTTATTTTCTTCCCTGTGACCCAGATATGCTCTGTCAATAGTCATATATACAAGTGTAATGTTGTTTACAACTCTCACTTTGACTGTCATCTCCACAGTTGACATGCAGGAGCAGAGTGAGAAGCGCTACATATTGTTGACAGGTCTCCGTTGGGAGACTCGTCTTGAAGACACGAGTCACACCGACGGAGACACAGCCAATCAAACAGTGCGTGGGGCCTAAACACTGCTCTGGCGTATGGTGCACATTTTAGGACATCTGAGGTTGAGGCTTGACAATGGAGGGTTGACTCAAGGAGAGTTGAGGCGTGAGGCTGATGGTGTCTTAAAATGTACTACATACAGGCATATTAAACGCAAGCTACAACACCTCAACTCTCTCTCCTTACAGCTCCCTTGAGCAGGTCTATTTAACATTACATTAATAGCTTTCTGATTTTGGAATTCCTGACTAAATATTAAAGAGTAGGCTGTTTCCATTCCGCCAAAAGACATTAAAAAGGGGGGGTTCTGGGAAAAACCAAGGTTAACCCCCGTCTCCCAAACAAGATTAGGGATTTTACCCTCTCAGAGCAGATGGAAAATAAACAGCCACACACCAGACTTAGGGAGAGGAATTATGGTAATGGTTTGGGCAGAGGCTGGCGTGAGGCTAGGCCAGGTTGTTTTGGATAATAAAGGTCTTAAACAGATAGGTCCCCGCATTTTCCGCCATGCTGCAATTGTAAATATGCACATATATATTTCACAATCTCCAATCCACACAGGATCCGTTCTGGCCTATGGAAATGCAATTCCCAACTTCCAAGCTAATCCACACCGAAATCCACCCATAAATCCTGACTTAACCACAGAATCCAATAAATGCTTTTCTCCTCCAGCTATTCAAATAGCGAGAGTGGTGCATATTATTTGTGCAGACAAGCTTTTGTTTTAAGAAAGAGCCGGAGCTTGCGTGAGCAATCCTCAGTCATAGCATCAAATGGCTTTAGGGATACTGTTAGTGTCGATCAGGGGCATGGTTGGGCCTGGGTGGACACAGGTCTCCCACTCGGGAGCCAGGCCCTGCCAGGCCCACCCAATCGTTGGCCCATCCAAATTTCTGCAGGCCCACCCACCAATGAATTTCTGGTTACGCCCCTGGAGAATATACTGTAAATGGGACTTGTGGGATTGCTCACTGTCAAGGGTTACGTGGACATTTGTTGATGTCTAATGGTTGTGCCATGACGGGTGATTGAACAGTCTACTAAGAGATATAAATCAGTTCATTTGACTGTGAAACACGCCGGTAAAAACAAAGCAAAATAAAAATCAATCATCAGCCACTGGTTGGTTATACACTACAGTATTCTTTGTCGTTTTTGAAAAGTGTACTATAATAAATGTTGAGGTATTTGGATTGTGCCTATAGCATTAATATTAACTATGACTTTTACTTACCATATATAATTTAATTCCATGTTCAAACAATATATCTTAATGATGCAATTATACTGTACTGCATAGGGAGGAGAAACTAGGCAAAAATGTTATCATGCTAATATGCCATAGCACCAAACGAAACTGAGAATTGAAACGTTCCGTAATAGACAAACTGTATGACTTTCAATTTACATATAATTGTTTTAACTGCCTTGTGAAATTGATCATCTCTAACATGTTTATTCACAATTATACAGAGATAATGGAATGGCACGACCAGTCAGGTTAAACTCCAAGTGAAAATCACCAAACTAGAGCTCAGGGATATTACTGCAAATAACACCGTTCCAAATATTGACACAGTAGTCTGAGCTGTGAAGGGAGTTTAATACCTTTCTTTTCTCCATAGGCTTTGTACAAATAGCTTGAAACGAATGAATGCCTTCTATGAGTTGGAACAGAACGTACATCTGCAAGTGGACCACTCTTTCTTTGGATTCTAACTGGCCATGTCTCAACTGCATTTAAAAGCAACTAGATAAACAAACAGTTGGAAAGAAACCTCTCCATTCAAATATCTACAACAATGCTTATGGAAAGGCATCAGTCTACAACAGTACATGAGAACTAAATATACAGTACCTTGTGGGTGCTTCATAATTCTTCCTTAGTGACCCGTATGGTTTTGTAACATAACCACATTTTATGTGTATAACGCTACAGTGCAACCTAAGGAGCTCTACTACATCAAGTTGGAGAACGTCACCAAAGCTGGTCTGAGGTTAAGTCAACTTGAAACCCCATTTTTATGGCCAATACCTGCTCTGGTGCCTGTTGCTGCTGAGATCCCTGTGGGACGCCACAGCATCAAGCTTTGGTGAATGATGACTAGTCGGAGGTCAACGATTGGATTGTTATCTTGCCCTTGTCAGATGAATTATTTCCACCAGACTGTGCCCAGAGGGAAGCAGCATGTACCTCTGACTGCAGTGTGTGTATCTGTGTGTGTGTGTGTGGTTTGTGGGTGTGTGTGGGTGTTTCATTTCCGAGTCCTAGTGGCTTAACTGGGATCCTAAGCAGTTCTGAACAGGGTTCTGGATGATAGTGTGCTGAGCAAAGACAGAGATGAAACGAAGGTTTACCCTCATCAATCAAGAAGCAGAGGGCTTTGCATGTTAGGCTCTGACCATCCTCAGCGGGTTTGGAAACAACCAGATTTACCCAGTTTTCAAGGGAAATTGAAGAAAGCCTGTTACGCGACTTCCTCTTTTGAACGTTAACAAGGCGACATCATCTTAACTCCTCCACATTTACTGGACTGGTTGAAGAGTGCAGAAGAGAACCTCCCCCAAAAGTTGTTTTCTCTTGTCAGGACCAGAATGTGGGGCGTCCCACTCTGGTGTTTCTTTTACGCCTGCTACATTAGGTTCTGACCTACAGGTGCTCCTGTGGTTTGTCTACCTTCCCTGGGTTAATATGGGTTCAGAATGAGAGATCTGTGGGACTTTGCTGGGAAAGACTAGCATGAGAGTTTACACATTTCATAACCTAAAGTAGCAGGTGTAAAAGAAAAACCTAAATCTAAATACCCCACATTCTGTTTTGTTTTTTAAACTGTCAGGGGAGGTTCTCTTCTGCACTGTTCAACCAAGATGGAGTGTCGCCTCGTTAATATTCCGGATGGAAACAACTTCAGAAAGCAAGCTAGCAAATGTGCCGTAGCTAGCTGCTAGCCAGATATTAACTAGCGTCACCAGGGATTGTAAACAGCGAGATGCACATCTAAAAGCGGAAGTCGCGACACAGGATCTATTATTTTCCCCCTGATTGGCTGATTGAACTGGTGCACATTTCATAGTTGAGTGCTCACCAAGAGCTTGGAGAGTGTTGTATGAAAACGGAACAAAAAATTGCCTTGCCTGTTTGGTAAAACTTTGAACCATCTGTGTGATAAGTTAACACATTTCTATTTATTTGTAGACATGAATACATGTGGAAGCATAAAGAACAATTTAATGCAAAATGGTTGTGATGGAGAGCTCTACAACCTCATATAATATGTTACTGTCTCTTTTGCGTTACTGTCTCTTTTGCTGACTAGACCCATTCTTAACATGGCAAAGTTATTGGCAAAGTTAGAAAGAGAAAGAGGTTTTTATTATGAACAAAGGCTAGTGTAACCAAAATGGAGTGTAAGCAATTTCACATGACATTCCCTGAAGACTGGATAGAGGAGAAAATACTCACTTGTGGGCCTGACATAGACTTTCAACTTCAAGCAGGGTTTCCCGACAAGGTTAGGGTGTGGAGACGCTGGAACGAGAGAGAGAGAGAGAGAGAGAGAGAGAGAGAGAGAGAGAGAGAGAGAGAGAGAGAGAAAATAAACACACACAAGCATATGTTTGTTAATGAATAACACATTCGGCAGCATTATTCTTGTCAGATCTCAGAGAAAATAGCTCAAATTATGCTGCCTGGGAAAGACGGTAAGTATGTTCCATTAGAGGGTTATAACCGAAATGTCCCACCCTCATTGGACCAAGATTTCACAGAGGTGATCCATCAGGCACTCATTTCAGTCAACTTTCAGTCTCCCTGTAAAAAATGTATCCACACGTTTTTTAAAAGCAACCAGTTGAGGGCCAGGGTGGAATTGTGGATGATGGCCTGAGAAAAACGGTGGCCATCTTGGTAGAAGAATTTGGGGGCCAGAAGTCAAGTTTGTCACACCTAAGGAGTTTTCGACCCGTCTTCTTGTGTGACCCTGTCCCTCTGACATAGCCACCAGAGTTGGAACTTGGAATGCCTCAGTGACCAGGTGCTGCGTGTGCAGAGATGTTAGCGTGGATCGCTAATCGCTTAGCAGGCTGTTACTGTGAATGGGAGTGCTAAGAACAAAACTCCAGAACTCCACGGTCCAAGTGTCTCAGTGTACTCACACACCATATGGCTCAGTGAGGAAAAACAACAACTCCATGCAACCTCTGATATGCTAATAGCATCACTTGAAAGAACCAGCGAGAGAACCAGAAAGAGACTTTGGGCGTAGTGCTGCATTCTTAATTAACCTTGAAAATGCTTTTTTCAGTCAAAAGTGTAGTCTTTTGTGACCAAAATTGAAAGCAGTACTTTCCTAACTTCACCGTGGCAAATTATGTTTAATTTTGTCTCTCGGAATCCAAAAAAAGAACACTGATTTTTTGCCATTAAAAACAAATATCAGGCACCAAAATGGCCACTCTCTTGCAACACCATTTTTGTAATTGGTCTTTTAAAATGGCTCCGTATTTGGTGGGGTAAATGCCCGGAATGCGAACACATAGATTATAGTCTAGACAGAATGACATGAAGCCAACTAAAGACACACAAAAAGAACACACAAACAACACACTGACATAGCACACATCCACAAAACACACACATAGTGCATACACCACTTATTCCTCTCTCTAACCACAACTTATATTTGAATTTGTGTCTGTGTGTGTTTCTAGTTGGGGTACAGGGTGTGTTTGTGCGTGTGTTTTTTTTTAGGTTTGCATTTGAGTGTGTGTATTTGGTATTTGCACACAAGTGTACATGGGGTGTTTGGGGGGAGAGGGGGTTATTGGTGGTGGCAGTGACTGAGCAGTCACAACTGTGTGTGTGTGTGTGTGTGTGTATGGAGATGAGGAGGCATAGAAGTCTCCAAAACTACTGCCTGATAGGGCTCTGTGCCACCACTAACCCATCAGGCCTGGGAGTTGGGGGTAGGTAGGTCACATTGGGGGTGATGGACGTGGCCCTTTGTTCACAGATAACCAAGCTAAACCCCCTTTCACCCCGGTAACACCCCACACCCAACTTCTCAAGCATCCCCCTTTGCCCTAACACTCCAGGGGCCATGACAGCTACAATATTGGTAGTAGCCAAATCATTTTCTAAGGGAGAGGAGAAAAAAATGTGCTGAATGGCGGGGCAAACTGCTTCCCAGCCTCGGCTGCTGTTGGGGACAAAGGGCCACACAATGCAGGGCCCGGCTAGGAGCTACGGGGCGGAGTGCATTAAGAACAGCTCAGGACGGGGAAGAATCGCCAGACACTGAACGCTAACTTTGAACTGGCTTTTCTTTTTGTTGCCAGTCCTCTGTCTCTCCTCCACTCCTCCTTTCCAGGAGTGACAACATCCCGCCGAGTATAATAAGTCGAGGGACGCCCCACTGGTTAGGAGGGGGGACGTTTAGACATTGCAGCACCCCCCAGCCCCCCTTCCACTCTTTCCCCCTCAGCCTAAATACCTTTCCATCACCCAGAGGATAATAAGCATTGAAATATATACCATATGTTGGAGGGGCGGCATCCATACACATTGCAGTGAGTGATGGGCCAGGGGGGCTGGGTTGGGGTACAGAGCCGCCCTATATGGGGTCCCCTGCCCTGATCTTGTCACACAGGGGTGCTGTCTAAATACTGTCACAACTGGTCCCTGTGGTTATGGATTTATAGTCTGGAAGGCTACAGTACAGTACACACACTCCCACTCCTTAGAAATGTCATAGCCAAGTCATAAAAAGCTTTGTAAAAACATTATTTTTTAAATATCGGAAATATTGGAAATATATAAAGTAAAAAATATACAATTCCATATTGTACAGTTTGGGTGTATCATATCATAGCAGCAAATTAAAATAATGATAGTCTTACAACGTGTAATTTCTCGTCTGTGTGATTAAGTTGGGCATTACTAACAACAGATGGCAGTGAACAGCTAGAAATCATGAGCTGCTGAGTAGCACTGTGCTTTAAAATGATCCTGATCTCTCCTCATCTCCCTTCACATCATACATGAGTCATGTGCTGTGTGCCAAATCAATCTTAGAAGTGTTGTCTGTCGTGTGTCTGTCTTTTTAGTGGTTCGGTCCGCCACAGGATTTAGCATCACAGGGCGGAGTCGTGACACCTTTTCTCCTGTGGGCTAAGTGGCCTCCCCCTAGCAACACAAGGGCACACACAGAGAGAATCAGACCAACCCAGTTAATGAACTTTATTAATATAACATAAAAAGGCCTCATGTTACACCCACCCCTGAACTTTCACTCTATTTTCAAATGTTCTAAAGTTTTTCATTTTTTGGAAAAATACAAGGGAAAAGGTGAACTAGAAGGAGAGAGAGGGGGTCAGACATAGGGGAGGGGAGAAAAAAACAAAAAAGGAACAGAAATTGCCTCATTAATGCATCCGGCATTCCGCTTTGAGCCTTTTCCCTACCTGGGCCCAGCAGGGGGGCTTTTCATCAGGCCAAAGGACACCTTTCACAGGGCCATTAGCAAAACAGGGACAGATGCACCCTGGCAAACCCACGCCTGTCCTGTCATGCTCATGGACCCACCGCACCGGGAATGGGCGACGGAGAGGGAAAAATCGCCTCCGACGGAAGGAAATGGGAAGCGCCGTGCGTACCGCGACCTTGAAAGTGAAGTGGGCGTGGAGCGTCCGGTAGGCGAGGTGTCAGGCCTGTCTGGAGAGCACGCCACCCTGGCCGCGTTCAACCCACCGCACCGCTAATGGCTTTCAGTGCCTCACGTCCAAAAAATTGTAATGACCACGGTCCGGAGCCAGAAGGACACAATTACCCCCATCAAGTTCCCTCTGCTAAATATTATTTGACCAATCAGCATAATTTGAAGCGTTCCGCATGAGGGCGCCGGTAACTGGTTTTGCACTGATCTCACCCTGTGAAGCTAAGCACCCAGCTAATAGCTCGCTTGCCATTTGACAAATTGACATTTTCATCAAGGGGTGGAAGGAGATGGGATGCGCCAGGGTGCCACACAAAAGGACGGCAGGTCAGGCAAAAAACCCACGGACGGACAAGTCAACCGGAAGCCGGAGATAAACGATTTGTCCAGGCTCCCCTCTGGTTTGGCCGCTGAATGTTGTGATTGGTAATAGCACGCCTGTTTAGTTACACTCTATGGCTTTAGTTCACGGTCTGTGATTTACTAGGAATTTACATTGTAACAGCATAATGACATTGCTGTTGCCTTATAACTATCTTTCGTTTTCATTCAATCAATTAGCGCAAGGAACCATAAATTGGAACCAACTGGTTCACATTTATATTGAATTTCTTCAAATAAATACTGGTTAACAATTATCTAGTAAATACAAGGACATCTGGGTTTTGATGCAGAATAGTCATCAGCCACTTGTCCTCTGTTTATACGGGCTGTGATCTGCTCTGGCTCTCCACTGTGGTGTGAACAGCCCGTTCTTGGTTGGTTCCTAGCCCTGGCACTAGTAGGAAGCCATGCATGGCAGCATAATGACACCACAAAGCAAAGCCTATTAATTAAACCCCTACCGCTTTTATGGCTTCCTCCCCCGCTTCCCACCAAATGGGAGAAAATCATCCTTCAAACGACCCTAAAACGAACATATACAATCCAACTGACATTCCCTGATATCCATCAACTGAAGAGCGATGGGTTGACAGCGCTGAATATTCTTGATGGGTCCCAACTGTGTCTGTTTTGTGTAGTCAGTGGGGGTCCAAAGTAATTTCTACTTGCATATTTTATTTCTTTACCTTACTTGGGGACATAACCAGTGTGGGGGTGAATAAAAGGGTGTCACAATATGGGGTCTGATTAAGATTTCAATTGGCTAAAGTTACTCCTTCACCAGTAACCTGACTGGTCCTGACTTGAATGCAGCCAATAGCTAATAGCCAATTAGATCTGTGTTACTAGGCCATGTGACCCATCGGCTAAGAAGCAAGGTTCTTCATAATCCTGGTACTAAGGACCAGTACACAGGGGTGCAATTATTTTTTCCAGTCAAGCACTAACACACCAGACTCTCCTAATCAACTGATCATCAAGCCCTTGATCAGCCAAAGAAGGTGTGTTAGTTTTTTTGGGGGGCAAATGGGAGATCTACCTGAAACCTCAAAATTGGAGACATAACATGTATCTGTAAGGCAGCAGTGTGTGTGTGTGTGTGTGTGTGTGTGTGTATGTGTGTGTGACATTGTCCATGTGACAACTTTTCCACTTACAGATATAGTAATACTCGTGACCCGGCCGGAACTCGAAGCCTAGCGAGAAGGGGGTGAAGAGCTGGAACTTCTCGGAGAACTTGAGCGGTCCATTGGGGCTCTGTGGCCGGTTGCACTCCCAGCGCTTGAAGCCCTTCATGCGGTGGTCGCAGGTGGTGTAGCCGTCGTAGTTGACCATGAAGAGGATGTAACGCTCCATGCGCTCCTGGGGGAGCGGGTCCTCATAGTGGGGGCAGTAGATGTCCAGGTAGTCGTTGATGGCCACCTCCACGGTGTACTCCCCATGGAGAAACCTGCGGATGAGACAGGACAAGTATGGTGTGTCTGACGAGAAAGTATGACGACAGATGGGAAATTGAATGGCATTTCGCAGACACATTTATCCTAAGCAACTCAAAACAGACTTGGATCTACAACAGACTTGGAACCCAAAACATCTCCACAATGAACAGCAGCGTCCATCGTTTGCGTCCAACTGATACAGAAAGCACCCACTGAAGATAACTAAACATAATGCTACTATTCTATATGGATGAAGGAGCTAGGTGAGGAGGACGAGGAAGAGGTGGAGAACGGGAGCAGGAGAAGAAGAGGGTCTGGAGATTGACAGGGGTTTACAGAGTAAGAGCGGCTTCATTAAGCTCTTTCACAGGGCCCTGTCTCTCGCCCAGCTCTGGCTAAATTAGTTTGCCGCTCTGGGCAAGCAATTTCGATACAAATTGAGCAACTGCACAGTGGCACAGATCTGGCCCTCTAATAGCGAAATTCCAGAGAGTGGCGCCGTGTGCGAGTTTCCAGGGGGCTATACCGCCATCCCCACCATAGCTATTAACTCCCTCGCACGGGGCCAGCTGAAACGCAAGGGCTCACATCACGGCCCAGAAGATGATTGTGTGGTTCCAGCTCCACTTTCTCCATGCCACAGTCTGGCTCAATTCCATTCCAAATATCCACACTTCACTTGGATTTTCCCTGGCCGTTTTGCAGCTTAAGTGACAAGTCGTGTTCCCCCCCAGTGTGTTTCGTAATTAGCCACACATACTCTGAAGCCAATATGAGAGGTTTGACACACTGACCCCAAATTCACAGACTGACCCTCGAATAAGTCACCCCCAAACAGTCCCCTTTGGACGGCGCGTCACTTCTCCCTCGACTGTCCTTATCAGTCACACCATGAGTGAGATCCTCAAAGAGGCCCGTAATCCTTCACAGGGCTCTGGTGGGGAGGCCATTTTGCGTCTTGTTGCGATAAACCCTCACACAAACACCAGCCATGTTGGTGGAAGCCCGCCAGATCGACTGTAGCTCATTGGCTCAGAGTAGAAAAGTGAGGGGGCAGAGGGGGCCAGAATGGGGGTGCAAGGTCATGAAGGGGGAAAAGGAGGAATTGGGGGGGGGGGGGGGTTCAGGCAGACCTGGCATCAGATGACAGCTAATCTGGGGGGGGGGGGGGTTGGAATACGTGTCAGGGGGGCCCAGGTCCACATCCAGCTGCTGTGTGAGGATCTTCTCCAGTCCCCCCTACACTACCCCCCCCCCCCCCCCCCTGCCCCCGCCCTCTGCTGCCCCCCTGCTCCCATCGCTTATCGCACCAAACCAGAGATCAACCCCCTTCCCTTCTCTCTGTGTGAGCTTGTCTGCCCTCTCTTTCCTGCATGCCACTTTATTCTCTGGTCATCATACCAACACCCCCGAATAAATTTTGTGAACACACGTCACCCTCCCGCTTCTCCACAACAGCCTCTCCTCTTCTCATTTCCTAACTTCTTGGCTCCTCTATTCACCCATCTTTCCCTCTCCTACTCCCCCCCCCCCCCTTCTCTACCCCTCTTCTGCCACGGAGAAATAGGGAATCTAAATAAGAATTAAGTCGGTGCAGCCCTCACATCTGAGATAATCTTCTAGCGGAGAGCATTGACAGACATAAGCCTTCATCCAGTCTTGACAGGGTCCATCTTTTATTATGGACTGCCAGAGCTTATGTTAGTGTGTGTGTGTGTGTGTGTGTGTGTGTGTGTGTGTGTGTGTGTGTGTGTGAGCGGCCTTAGGCCTGATCGAGGAAACAGGGGAACAGGGTGGGGCGCTCCCCCTACTACTCCTCTTCCTTCCCCCTTAATTTCACTACATAACTTTTTTTAGGGGGATATTGAAAAATGCATGGGTTGCACTTCTGTATTACTCCCCTTGGCCAATCAGGTGGCGGCAGCGGCCGGGTAACTACGCGGTAACTACGCAGGGAATGTAATAATCCTCCAAAGGCCATGCTGCTGATGTAAACCTGTGGTCTATTAGATGTAATTCTCTTCCATAAAACATGTATTAGGGGGCCTTAAATGGATACCGCCTATCGACTCTGCATATTTTCTTTCTTTTTTCCCTGAGTGCATGCAGCCATCGCCATCACCCTTTCAGGATTCAAATAGTGCATTATGTCTCGATAAATCAATACCCCTGCCTTCTTCCTTCTCTTCCTCTCCCTAATTTCCCGTCGTTCCAGCAGCATTGCCAGTCATTAAGGGCCAGTGGAGGCAAATCGAGGATGGGTTTGATGGAGCGATGCTGCAACGCTCAGTCTTTGATTGAGCTCCGTGACACGTTGTCGGAAATGACCTCGTTAGGCAGTCAGGTGGGAGGAGTGGAAGAACATCATGACAGATCCAAATATCAATAACAAGGCAGCCAGGGGTGTATTATGTGTGTGTGTGTGTGTGTTTTTGTGTGGCTGTAAGGGAGAGCTAATGCATGCAAGCTATTTGTGGTCTTGCAATCAATCACTCACGCCAGTCTTGGCCCGCCCCTCTCCAACTGTCACCTACATGGGTCTTTTGAAGCCACCCCCACCCTCCCCCTTCCAGACATTACCAGCAGCAAATTAAATATCATCCTGGCTACAGTTAACTCCTGTCAGGGGGGGAGACAGGTTCCACCCTGATGGTTGGCTATGACAGCCTCTAAACACGCACTAGCGCCTGGCCCAGCCTCTTCTCTGCTACCCTTCCACCCACCAAAAGCATTCTTGCCACATTCTCACTACCCTCAAATCCAACGTGGGCAAGCAAGCCACATGCATGGCGGACATTTTGTAAACCGCCCGGCCCATTCCTCGGAGACCAGAAACACATGGTGGTGATTGATCAATTTAGCTTTCAAACTACGAAGGGGACTTTGAAAGTTACTGGACTTTGAAAGCTCCCAGAGAGTTTCACAGTCTTCACAATCTGTCTGACCACCAACAACCCCCCTGTAGGAGCTTAATTAATCAGGCCCAATGTTTAAAAGTGCATTATAAAGTGTTTATAGCTGGATGATTTAGATGGGCCAAACTTTGAAACCGGCCGAGGTTTCTTACGTGTTTTTTTTTTTAAGACCACTTCTTCTCTGATTTACTGTCTTGTCAGGCTTGACAAAGCCCCGGCAATGTGGTTTAAGTCGGCCCCACTTTATGACTTCATGGGCTAAATGTCTGTCCATAACGTTGTCTGCTTTTGAAGCCCTGCATGCAGGAAGAAGCCATCTGCAAAGGGAAGACGTCAAAACCAACCAAGCACATCTGATGGGACAGAATGGGTAATTTAGAACGCTATTCTTAGTTCTTAAGTCTTCAGGGGGTGCAAAAGAGGATGCTGTAGTCTGTACTATTAGGAATTATACAATGCGTCCTAAAGGGACAGTTCAATCAAATGTAGTTACAAATAAACGTTCACTGGTATGGAAATTGGGGTGCCATACTTTCATTGTTTAACGATTATGGTTCATGCTTAAAAAGGGATTAAAGACACAGACTACATAAAAAATGGCAATTGTGAACTTCAAACCATCTCAGAAGATACTGTAAGCTGCTGACTTTAAAGCTGAACATGTTAAGACAACTTTGTGACCAAATTATTTAAAGCTTACAGCAGCATCACCCATGGAAGATGTGACCAATCATATCAGACCTTCCTGGTCAACTGGACCAATAAGGTGAAGGGAGTGGAGATGATGAGAGAGAAAAAGAGAGAGAAAGTACAGTACAGAACAGACCTTTCCCCTTCCAGCATTCCTTTCCCTCTCTCTCTATTTCTCTCTTTCTCTGCAGGCCAGTTCACCCACGTGGCAAAAAAAATAAAATGTGCTCTCCGTGCCACCTGCTCGACCCTCCGACAGAAAACTCCAGCTGCTTGTTTGTCTGCAGAACACACTTTACAGGACAAACCACTGGCCGGGCCAATTAAATCAGAGTCAGGTTCAGCTTGGAACAGGGGGTGGTGGTGGTGTGTGTGTGTAGGGGGGACACTACCGCCATACAGCCACATTTCATGCCTTTTTAATGCCTGCACCAATATATCTGGAATCTTAAGCCTGACGTTTGCTAATGAATTGAGCCCTAGCGTTGATTCGTTTGTAGCATTTGTCCTGGAATTCAAGGATCAACAGAAAAACCCAGACCCTGTTAGTTTACATTGTGTAGATTTTGGCTATCGGGATACGTAGTCTGGGGGTTGCCAGGACTGGTATCCTAGACGTGGAAATTACGTGAATTTTTGTAACCTTCGCCGGCCGCCACTTCATTGTTGACACAGAGCCAAAGCAAACTGAGGAATTTACTCTGCAATTAATGATGACCTGGGCAAGTTGACTTAATACAAACAAATGGACTTAATAACTTGACACATAACTGGACCCCAGGAAGAGTAGCTGCTGCCTTGGCAACAGCTAATGGGGATCCATAATAAATACTACAAACACTTCACGTCATCTGATTACATTGGAGTCTTGGTCTAAGGACTAGCTGGCCAGGCCACAGCAACTTCCAATCTAGGATCTAGCTCTATAGTATCCTCACTTGTTTTCTGGTGCGAGTCCAACGCAAGCGATTTCGGTGGCGAGTTTCCGCGGGACAAGTCATGTAACTGAAGTCTCCCTGTATTCACAATTGAATGAGCTGGACGGTTGGTGAGGGTGGGGGGTGGTGGAGGTGGAAGAGAGGAGGGGGTAGGGAGAGAGACAGGACAGGAGCGTGAGCTGCGCTAGGCGGTGGTTGAGAATGGCCCTTTGTGCTCTCACTGAGCCTGTCTGGAAGCCATTTCCGCATTTTAGTTCTCCGGTCCGGCCTGCATCTGGAGCCCACCTCTCGCCATGTGGAACGTGTTTATTGTTCTTTGTGTCAGGCAGACTCACAGACAGCCCTCCTCTCTCTACTCTCCCTCTCCCTCCGTCTTCCCCCTGCATCTCTATGTAATTTCTGCTGTTATTTCAACTCGGTGTGCAGCAATTTTCCTATCGAGGCGTTTACGCAAACTTAACCTCCAGTTGATGTTCGGCCAATGCCGAGGAAAAGTGCCGCGGCAAAACAAAAACAAACATACAAGAGGGGGAAGATTTTGGGGGAGGTGAGGACGCCTCAGGGGGACACGATGTGTGTGTGCATTGGGAGATGAAAGAGATTGAGGTCTCTGTTTAAAGTACCTCTACCTCTATTTCTCTCTGTCTTTGTGATGTTAGATTGTGGTTGGACAAGCAGGGAGGTGTGTGTGCGTGTGTACGCTTGCATATGTGTGTGTGTGTGTACTTCTGTGTGTGGGCTATAATTATCAGCACCATGCTCTACCTTCTGCATGGCTTGAATTAACCATGAGACAGTGTTTGAATCCGCCCTCTCTTAAAATGGTGCTCTTTTTTACCCATGATGCTCTGCTGCATAAGGACTGGGAGAGGAGGGAGAGGAGATGAGGGAGAGGAGGGAGTGCTATTCTCATAGCCTCTCTCTCTCTGCCTTGTAAGCTAATTGCATTTCCATGTCTTTGTCTGTTCTAAACGAGCGGCAACTCACACTGTGTCACCTCGTTTCAGCAGAGAACCAGTGCAGAGCTGCAATACTGTAAAAGTGTGAATAACAGTAACAATCAAATGATAGGGAATTAACAATGAGGCACCTGAGGAATCTATGATGATGGACAATAGGTTGTGACTCCAATTTACAGACAATTGAGAGGCCCCAAAAATACTGGCTAGGCTAACATTACCTAAGCCATAATGGTCAAAGAGCTTTAGTAATGCTACCCAGTGCTTGAAGAGGACTGAAATACTGTAGGTGCAGGGGTGGGTGCCATTCTCTTTAAGTCCCAGTACTCATCATATTTTAGAACTAATCATCTATGAGAGATGCGGGACTCAAGCAGTAGACAATTTGCTCACCTGCCCAACTCAAGCACCGGCCCAGTTGAAGCACCAGCGCTAACATAAAGTAATCAATAAGGCACATGGAGCAGAAGATTACCCGAAGCCACTTTAGGTAAGTGGGACGCATCCCTAAAGTTACCACGAAATTACACCAATCAAATCATGTGATGACAGCTATGACAGCTCACGACAACATAGCTAACGCCATTGACTCGCGTTACCGTTTTCAGCTATGTTCCTCATTACAGTGTTACAACAGTTTCTTTACGCAAAAGTTGTTTTAGTCATCATGACATGTTATGACACACGTAATGACACCATTTATAGCATTCTCCAACCTGCATTACGAGCATCAACTTCAAGTGAAGGCTTTACTGCTCTGAAGTGGAAGAATGCAAAAAACACCTAATTTTCTTGATTCAAAAAATTGATATAAAAAATACACATTGCCACCAAGGGAGTTTTCTTTGTACTCGTCCTCCTTCAATTTCTCTTCCCTCTCTCCCCTGTGCTGCTCGCACAGCGAGCTCCCACCTCGACCGCAGTGATAATTGTGAAAGCAATGAGTCTTAGCTACTAAATGAGACGGTGAAGACACTCCTTCTGCATACCTGCTGGCATCTGCTGAGAGAAACTAGGCTCCCCCTTTTTTTATTTCACACTCCTCCAGACAAGGGAGGAATAATTACACTTCATCTGATGGGAAACTATTTATCTTTTCCCCAAACCCCCCCTACATCCCTCCATCCCGGCATCCCGCACACAGCAACAGCAGAGGCAGCAACAACAACAACACTGAAGACAAAAAAACTAGAGCACATCTGTGACAGTTTGTGCAATCGAAAACCCCAGAGTGGTCTGCACATGAGGGAGGGGAAAAGTGGTGGGGATGGGGGGGGGGTTGAAGACTAATTGGGGATGCTTGAGCACACACACACCCACCCACTGCAGCATCCCCCTCGCCTGTACATCACCTCGGGCCAAACACAGGTGATTTAAGGCTAAGTAGCATTTAAATGGCAAATGCAATCCATGCCTTTCAAGACTGTGGGGGTCCACTGTTCTTTAGCCCACAGAGTTCCATCAATACCCCCTCCGCTTGGGAATAATTGGAAGAGAAAGTGAGTGCTCTTCCCAAACGCCAGGCGCATCCCTCGCAGATGGGGCGCAGATCAAAGAGGATGGGTATTGGCAGAGGCATGATAAATTACACTCCCGCTAATTCACCACGGACACTCGCTCTGTCCACCGGTTCTTCTGTTGTGGCCTGTTAGAAAAATAACTCACCCCACTGCTGCAGTGGTCAATGAGTTTACCTCTGCTTAGCAGAGACAATGGCTCTAGTGGTTTTAATGGGTGAGGTTCGTGTTTATAACAGAGTTTGTAACGGCGGAATGGCTTGTAATGCGTGCAATCGCGGAATAGTAAATTTTTTAGAACACAGCTTGTGAAGAGTGTGTGTGTTCCTGTGTTTTTGTATTACTCCACCAGTAAGACCAGACGGAAGCTGCAGGGACGGAATTACCTTAGACCACAACATAAATATTTTGAATGTAGATATACCTGTGAAATTCATTCAAAGCATAGAAAATCTAGTTCCAAAGCATGACTCCTTATACTTTTATTGATTGAATATACAGAAGAAACATATCCACAGATTCAGTCTGGAACTTCTTGTCAGGCATTGCAAAATAACTTCTAAAAGCCCCCCAAAAAGCTATCTTCAGAGGTGTATTACGCTACTATACCTTATGTTTGCACCGTCAAATCTGGCATTTACTGCGGGCCTAAGCACAGCATTTACTACCTGCATATGTACAGTATGGCTGTTGGGTTCTTCTGAATAGCACCTGTTCCTATGTTTGCTCCTTTCTTTGTGGTTACACGATTTATGGATCCCAATTTGTTATCTATTTAAGATGGCAACAGGGATAAGGTAGTGGGACCTTTTACAAGCCGCCAGAGTTATTGGATAATCCTGAGTCGGTGAGTTTAGGGACTGGGGTCTCTATAACCCTTGACCTCAGGAGTTAAAAAGCTCAGGAGTAACTGGACCTCTGTCACTGTACCAACGAATCAGAAGTAAAGAGTTGATGACTGCAATATTGTCTGATCTACTAATCATGTTAATTGGCAAATCAACTATTTATAATTTTAAGGTGTCAAAACCATGACAAGAATATCGACTGTAGCTACAGCATGAGCACACACAATGCAAAACTGTACAGAACACTGCCTTACTTTTTTGACTGAGCAAATTCTATTGTACGTGAACCAAGTACAGTGCTTCGTATACATCTTCAATACAGATGTACAGATTAATAAGGCAAAGAAAAAATGCCAAGTAATCAAGCTAACATTGAGTTATCTGTTTAGGGCAAGACATCAGGTACCTGTCAAAGGCTTAAGTCAAGATGAAGTATCACAGTTGGTGCGAGTTCCAGGGAAGGACTCCGCTGCATTCAACATTGTTATGATTTATGAGGCTTTAAACTAGTAAAAAAAAGAAAGACAGCGATGATTTTTGACATAATTCATCCTTGGATAGGGCCGCGTTTGCATACTAGCTAGCGTACTTGACGGACTTCACGTCAAGATGTTTCTATTGACATATCTCCAAGACATCCGCTAATATAATTTGTCAACGTCAACAACTATTTTGGAATGTACTAAAAAGGGCATACAAATTAAATTTAGCTCAGAGTAGGAGGCCCCTACACCGCAATCAATATAATTAGTTCTGGCTATCGGTTCTGAGTTTTGACCAAAAACGGTTGGTTCATTGGAGTCTGTCACAATTTGACTGACGGAATAGTCTTGATTAATCATAATTCTAGCCCAAAAAACTAAACAAAATCTGTGCTCTGAAAAAATTCTCACGTATGACTTTAGGATGGAGAACAAAAAACAAATGGAGGGTTCAAAACCAAATTAACCCCACTTACTCCACCATGTGCATGTGCTCACTTTCATGTTTGACAAAGTGGGGGATTTCGTGGCAGTTTAACATATTAAGTTGACTATCATAGAGGGAGAGGAGAAGGTACAGTGGGGGAAAAAAGTATTTAGTCAGCCACCAATTGTGCAAGTTCTCCCACTTAAAAAGATGAGAGAAGCCTGTAATTTTCATCATAGGTACACGTCAACTATGACAGACAAATTGAGAAAAAAAATCCAGAAAATCACATTGTAGGATTTTTAATGAATTTATTTGCAAATTATGGTGGAAAATAAGTATTTGGTCACCTACAAACAAGCAAGATTTCTGGCTCTCACAGACCTGTAACTTCTTCTTTAAGAGGCTCCTCTGTCCTCCACTCGTTACCTGTATTAATGGCACCTGTTTGAACTTGTTATCAGTATAAAAGACACCTGTCCACAACCTCAAACAGTCACACTCCAAACTCCACTATGGCCAAGACCAAAGAGCTGTCAAAGGACACCAGAAACAACATTGTAGACCTGCACCAGGCTGGGAAGACTGAATCTGCAATAGGTAAGCAGCTTGGTTTGAAGAAATCAACTGTGGGAGCAATTATTAGGAAATGGAAGACATACAAGACCACTGATAATCTCCCTCGATCTGGGGCTCCACGCAAGATCTCACCCCGTGGGGTCAAAATGATCACAAGAACGGTGAGCAAAAATCCCAGAACCACACGGGGGGACCTAGTGAATGACCTGCAGAGAGCTGGGACCAAAGTAACAAAGCCTACCATCAGTAACACACTACGCCGCCAGGGACTCAAATCCTGCAGTGCCAGACGTGTCCCGCTGCTTAAGCCAGTACATGTCCAGGCCCGTCTGAAGTTTGCTAGAGTGCATTTGGATGATCCAGAAGAGGATTGGGAGAATGTCATATGGTCAGATGAAACCAAAATATAACTTTTTGGTAAAAACTCAACTCGTCGTGTTTGGAGGACAAATAATGCTGAGTTGCATCCAAAGAACACCATACCTACTGTGAAGCATGGGGGTGGAAATATCATGCTTTGGGGCTGTTTTTCTGCAAAGGGACCAGGACGACTGATCCGTGTAAAGGAAAGAATGAATGGGGCCATGTATCGTGAGATTTTGAGTGAAAACCTCTTTCTATCAGCAAGGGCATTGAAGATGAAACGTGGCTGGGTCTTTCAGCATGACAATGATCCCAAACACACCGCCCTGGCAACGAAGGAGTGGCTTCGTAAGAAGCATTTCAAGGTCCTGGAGTGGCCTAGCCAGTCTCCAGATCTCAACCCCATAGAAAATCTTTGGAGGGAGTTGAAAGTCTGTGTTGCCCAGCGACAGCCCCAAAACATCACTGCTCTAGAGGAGATCTGCATGGAGGAATGGGCCAAAATACCAGCAACAGTGTATGAAAACCTTGTGAAGACTTACAGAAAACGTTTGACCTGTGTCATTGCCAACAGAGGGTATATAACAAAGTATTGAGAAACTTTTGTTATTGACCAAATACTTATTTTCCACCATAATTTGCAAATAAATTCATTAAAAATCCTACAATGTGATTTTCTGGATTTTTTTTTCTCATTTTGTCTGTCATAGTTGACGTGTACCTATGATGAAAATTACAGGCCTCTCTCATCTTTTTAAGTGGGAGAACTTGCACAATTGGTGGCTGACTAAATACTTTTTTCCCCCACTGTAAATACGGCCTCCATGCTAGGCTTCCTGTCCTCTAGGGGGTTTGTCGCTAGTGAGATCTGCAGGACGCCAATGTAGTCTTGCCGTCAGACGGGGACATCATGCTGACTAACACATTGCGGGGCGGGGCACACCTGGCTTAGGAGAAAACATAAAAACAAACTCAGAAGGAGAAAACTAGAGAGGACCATAATTACTGTGTACACCCACTTGTACGCGCGCGAATCAGCACGCACGCACAGCGCTACATCCTGTAAAAAGAAGAGAATGAGAAACAAACAAGGTCTGTTTTACTATGTATCCCTATCTTGTTTCTGCGGGCTCTTTGTGCCATACGGGCAAAGGGGTAGGGAGGGAGGGGCTGAGGGGGGGGGGAGAACAGAAGAAGCATCAAAGCTAAATGAAAATGATAATGATGCCATCCACTCTGAAGTTAAGTGTATCATGACCCACCCTCTCCTCGTCCTGCCCTCTGTCTTTTTTTAACACCATTAGCAAAGTGCAGGCTAATAGAGTTAGTGAACTAGCACAGTCCTGTGGTGAGGGATTGGGTGACGCTAACAGCCCAGAAGCTCACTCTCCTCCCTGGACTCCCTACTCAACTTGCAAAGCTGCCTCTCCGGGTTCAATGTTGCCATGCTATCACATCATTAGTCAAAACTTTATAACCCCTACTCGTAAGGGCAGCGGGTCCATTAGCAGAGGCACTACCCTCACGATTTCTTTACAAGCCTCAGTTCCAACAAAGCAATGACATCACAAGTTTGTTTCCTCATAGCAACTGACAATATTGACGAATTTCGTTCTATTTTATATGGGGATTTCTTTACATTTCAAAACATACATATCACTAACCTTTCTATGCACCGATACTTGAGGTCTGTTACAGGCCTGTTTTACATGCATTCTTGAATAAAGGCCATCTTAATTTATATTTGAATAATGTCTCTCAAACACACCAGGGAGACATTGAATGCCAAGACCTGAGAGGAACAAGTTGAAAATGGAACGCATATCTGTCCAGTCCTGAAGACGATACATCATCACAACAAACACCTAGTACGACCGACATATACCTCCAGCAGCCATATATATCACACATAAACACATGAAAACACCTGAAAGGAAGGAAGAAGGTATTTGTCGACTTCCCCGTGAGGGAGACTCATCATACATAAAGATAGATGTTGTCTGAAATAGAGAGCAAACTGGTAGCGACAGAGATCAAACAGGTAGTCAAGCAGGCTCTGAGCGCCTCCCTCGCTTTACAATGATTTACGGTTCAATCTCCAGTCGACTCCGACAAGAAATTGATTAAATATATTTCCTCTAAGTGGGGATGTGTCTGTGTCATTTGTCAATTTGCCACGCAGGTCCATACATGAGCAGAGATTTTATCCCCCCACTCTCCACCTAAGATCATTGCATTTTGATGAATTGCCATTGATATCTATTGGAGCGGCATCAATACTTGATTGATGTTAAATATGTGGATGCTTAGGCGTTTTGCTCTGTTAGTATTGGGTATAATACTACTAATATGGACATTCAGTGCATGAGAGACAAAGAATGCTATCATTTGAGATACTCTACACTGTACTTGTATTGAATAGTAATAAGTACTGATATTAGAATTTCTAGCATATTACAGTGGGGGAAAAAAGTATTTAGTCAGCCACCAATTGTGCAAGTTCTCCCACTTAAAAAGATGAGAGAGGCCTGTAATTTTCATCATAGGTACACGTCAACTATGACAGACAAAATGAGAAGAAAAAAATCCAGAAAATCACATTGTAGGATTTTTAATGAATTTATTTGCAAATTATGGTGGAAAATAATTATTTGGTCAATAACAAAAGTTTCTCAATACTTTGTTATATACCCTTTGTTGGCAATGACACAGGTCAAAAGTTTTCTGTAAGTCTTCACAAGGATTTCACACACTGTTGCTGGTATTTTGGCCCATTCCTCCATGCAGATCTCCTCTACAGCAGTGATGTTTTGGGGCTGTCGCTGGGCAACACGGACTTTCAACTCCCTCCAAATATTTTCTATGGGGTTGAGATCTGTAGACTGGCTAGGCCACTCCAGGACCTTGAAATGCTTCTTACGAAGCCACTCCTTCGTTGCCCGGGCGGTGTGTTTGGGATCATTGTCATGCTGAAAGACCCAGCCACGTTTCATCTTCAATGCCCTTGCTGATGGAAGGAGGTTTTCACTCAAAATCTCACGATACATGGCCCCATTCATTCTTTCCTTTACACGGATCAGTCGTCCTGGTCCCTTTGCAGAAAAACAGCCCCAAAGCATGATGTTTCCACCCCCATGCTTCACAGTAGGTATGGTGTTCTTTGGATGCAACTCAGCATTCTTTGTCCTCCAAACACGACGAGTTGAGTTTTTACCAAAAGGTTATATTTTGGTTTCATCTGACCATATGACATTCTCCCAATCCTCTTCTGGATCATCCAAATGCACTCTAGCAAACTTCAGACGGGCCTGGACATGTACTGGCTTAAGCAGGGGGACACGTCTGCACTGCAGGATTTGAGTCCCTGGCGGCGTAGTGTGTTACTGATGGTAGGCTTTGTAACTTTGGTCCCAGCTCTCTGCAGGTCATTCACTAGGTCCCCCCGTGTGGTTCTGGGATTTTTGCTCAACGTTCTTGTGATCATTTTGACCCCACGGGGTGAGATCTTGCGTGGAGCCCCAGATCGAGGGAGATTATCTGTGGTCTTGTATGTCTTCCATTTCCTAATAATTGCTCCCACAGTTGATTTCTTCAAACCAAGCTGCTTACCTATTGCAGATTCAGTCTTCCCAGCCTGGTGCAGGTCTACAATTTTGTTTCTGGTGTCCTTTGACAGCTCTTTGGTCTTGGCCATAGTGGAGTTTGGAGTGTGACTGTTTGAGGTTGTGGACAGGTGTCTTTTATACTGATAACAAGTTCAAACAGGTGCCATTAATACAGGTAACGAGTGGAGGACAGAGGAGCCTCTTAAAGAAGAAGTTACAGGTATGTGAGAGCCAGAAATCTTGCTTGTTTGTAGGTGACCAAATACTTATTTTCCACCATAATTTGCAAATAAATTCATTAAAAATCCTACAATGTGATTTTCTGGATTTTTTTTTCTCAATTTGTCTGTCATTGTTGACGTGTACCTATGATGAAAATTACAGGCCTCTCTCATCTTTTTAAGTGGGAGAACTTGCACAATCGGTGGCTGACTAAATACTTTTTTCCCCCACTGTATCTCTATCTTATATCTAATCTCCCAGGCACCATGATCGCAGCCAGGTGTGTGTTGACATGTGGGTATGGTGGTACCCATGAGTGGGGTATACGGGCAAAGCTTAGTTACCTGGCATCCAGATTACATTTGTACACACCACAGTGTGACATGCCAACTGGTCCGATCACCAAAGTTCACACAGTGGATAAGACTTCCTATCATCAGGCCTACTCTCCACCCCTAACCTGACACCTATCCCCATTCGCCTATGCTGCATTACCCATGAGGCCCTGTTCTCCTCTGCTTCGCCCCTCCCAGCCCTGTCCTGCCATACTATCATGTCATGCCATCGCGGTCGCCCCCGGCGATGATTCGCACCCCGGACGGTGGGGGCTCTCGGTGTTTCACGGACTGGCCCGAAACAGGAGCCTTGTCATGACAAGGCCAGGGACAATGGAGGCAGTGTTGTTACCGCACTGCTCCCAGGCAAGGCTCCCAGATGTGAGATAAAAGATACAAGCAGGGAGACAAAGTTATCTGTGCCTGTATCGGCCGGTGGGGGCCAGGAAACTGGATCCTATTGTGGCTGTCGGAGCGGTGGTTCTCAGTGGGTCTCCAAGTTGCCCACAGGGGCAGCAGACAGTGCCTGCCGGGGCGGCCCGGCCCCCTGGGCTGACAGTTAGGGCTACCGGGTAACTCAAGCTGCTCTCTCCCACTGCCCGCCTTCCCAGGGACAGAGACACAGAGACATACAAACACACACATGCAGGTAAACACAAACTCAGACGCGGACACACAAGAGGGCATGCACGTACACACAGACACAAACTCTCACTCACACATGCACACATACACAAACCCCTTGTTAGGTATCTCGCTGGAACTATCCCCGCTCAGTGACAGGATGACAAAGCTCTCAAAGAAAACGCATTGACTATTATGTTGATTTTCAAAGACTCTGGTTTCCGTTGCTGGACGTGAGAGTGTGCCTTTCTTTCAGGCCTATTCAGATTTCCCATGTTGAGCTGTCTCAGCGATTGGCCAGGGCAAGAGGTGGTGCATTTTTTATTGAGACAGGACCATCCACACAATGTTTTTGTTTGTGCTCTCAACGCCGGGTTAGGCAGCCTGTTAATCTGAGAGGTGTGTTTGGATCAAAGAGGAACTCGCTTGCCTGACAGATGAAGGGGGGGGAGGAGGGACAAGCAACATTGGCAGAGGAGAAAATAAACAGTACACAGAGAGAGGGAAGTAGTGGAAAACATTAGGGGAACAGAAACGATAGCCAGCTTTTTAAACCACACTCAATGCAGGAGTCTCTCAGAACTAGTTCAAACTATTATGGAAACAATTTCACATGCAGTCCTTCAGTTGCGGGGCAGAAGAATCGGCACCACCCCAAAAAAGTGAACGCATCGTTCACGGCGAGTGGCACCTGTATGTTTTAACACCGTTGGCTCAATGGGACGCAAAGCCATCAATTAGCCACTATGAGTATTTTGAGTATTTCTCGTAAAGAAAAAGATTAAAGCGGAGAAACTGACAACCTCCTAGGGAGTGGATTGGTCCAAATAGTCCAAACCCTGGGTGCCAGACAAGCAGTCCTGTCAAGCCCCTCTACGGGTGGACGGTGTCCCGTAAAACATGTTTTTCTTTGCCAATCATAGGTAGAGAGGGACAGGGGTAAAGCAGCTCTGACAGAGCAGGGGAAGAGGAAACAAGGGGAGGGAGGGGGGAAGGAGCGAGAGAGAGAACGAGAGAGAGAGAAAGAGAGAAATGGTCTTCCTCTCCTCTTTTGTAATAATAAATAGTCGGTTGGCAAATGCTTTTATCCAAAGAAACTTACAGTTAACACAAACATTCAGTTCTTTTAAACTTAACAAGTTCCATGAACCCCTCAAATACTATGGAAGTGGCCTGAAATACACTAGGTTACCAAAACCTGAGAGGAACAAGTTGAAAACAGACTACGGATCCGTCCAGTCCTGAAGACGACACAACAAACAGGTAGTACGACCGACATATACTACAGCAGGCCTTTATACAGTATCACACAGAAACACTTGAAAGGAAGGAAGAAGGTATTTATTTGTTGACTTCCCCCTGAGGGAGACTCATCATACATAAAGATGAATGTTGTCTGAGTCGCTCTGAACCTCCGAATGTTGTTTTTGAGGCTATTGGACACATTTTTACTGGGATTTACTCACGTAATAGCGACAGAGAGCGAACAGGTAGCCAAGCAGGCTCTGAGCGCCGCACACGCTTTACAATGATTTACGGTTCAATCTCCAGTCCACTCCTCCAAGGAATTGATTAAATATAAAAATATAAACGCAACATGCAACAATTTCAACGATTTTACTGAGTTACAGTTCATATAAGGAAATCAGTCAATTGAAATAAATTCATTAGGCCCTAATCTATGGATTTCACATGACTGGGCAGGGGCGTAGAATGAGTTTTTCCCCACAAAAGTGCTTTATTACAGACAGAAATACTTCACAGTTTCATCAGCTGTCCAGTTGGCTGGTGTCAGACGACCTTGCAGGTTAAGAAGCCGGATGTGAAGGTCCTGGGCTGGTGTGGTTACACATGGTTCGCGGTTGTGAGGCCGGTTGGAAGTACTGCCAAATTCTCTAAAACGACATTGGAGGCTGCTTATGGTAGAGAAATTAACATTAAATTATCTGGCAACAGCTCTGATGGACATTCCTGCAGTCAGCATGCCAATTGCATGCTCCCTCAAAACTTGAGACATCTGTGGCATTGTGTTGTGTGACAAAACTGCACATTTTAGAGTGGCCTTTTATTGTCCCCAGCACAAGGCGCACCTGTGTAATGATCATGCTGTTTAATCAGCTTCTTGATATGCCACACCTGTCAGGTGGATTTATTATATTGGCAAAGGAGAAATGCTCACTAACAGGGATGTAAACAAATTTGTGCACAACATTTTAGATCTTTTTTTTTTTACGTTCAATTTTCAACTCTACCAATAGTTTTGTCACAAAAACTGTTGAGTTAAATAGCAAATGTGCCTACTCTGTTCTTGGCACATGCGGTTAGGCTAGTCTACATGATGGGATTATTATGGGTAAGAGCAATAATATTTTTATTTGTCAAACAGCAGTCAAGCATCGATCATCATGTCACCAGAATAAGACCCTTCATATTTATTGGAAAGGAGCATCAAGATCACCATGCACTTTCACCACCCTGTGAAGGTCGTCAAAACTTATTTCATCTGTAGCCTAATAAACTGCATGGTAGTGGGAGGACCACACACCATATCATTGCGTGACTCCAAGTTTACTTTGATATGATGGTTATTATATCAATATTTGTGCAATAAAGGCGTTTTCACCGCCATTTCTCGTATAATTAATTTTACAGACACAAAGATCCCACCATGACGAACAAACAAATGATCTTGTCGCCATTTATAAAATTGTACCGAAATTTCCTGTTTCCATCACAGCTGTTGTGATTTTGTTTTATACGGTATGACTTTGCTCGCATAAAAACTGTGGTTGGAAACATGGTTACTGACCATATATTTTCAATGGATTCAATGGCAGTTCTTACGTTCACCACAAGGGGCATTGTGCCAATTTCTAGGGTGCTTTTGGCACCCGCCCTGCCTCACAGGCACTATTAATGGCAAAAAAGTACATGTGAGCAACCGAAGTTCTTGCTAACAAATGAGCAGTTATCAATTGATAGCGGTCTCTTACTGGCATCACTCAGTTATTTCATTATATTTAACAAACCAAACATTACCGTTATGTAAGGTAAAGTAAAAATCCAAACCAGTCTGTGCATCAATACAGGTTTAGAGTCAAATATAGTTTACTGCCCAGCCCTATCGTGCACACCCTCCCCGTCTTGTGCACGGCTTATGCACACGTGGTAATGAGTAGTGATGGGGGAAAAATCAGGACATATCAAGATATAATTTTTGATGATATATCATATCGTTTTGACAATATCACAATATTATTTTGGCGCTAGTTGTCTGTTCCTGCACCAAACTCCAATATTTTTACTTCATAGCTTGTTCTCCATCTTCTTTTTAAATAGGGAGCCAATTTGTTTTCAGCACTTTCATTTCCATGACTGATCAAAACTCGTTTTCTAATGGCTCTCTTTTGTCACTCTGCAGCAGACATATGGTGAGCTATGATATGTTTGGAACATCGAATCACAATAAAATAACAGTACTGAATCGCAATACATATCGTAGCGGCACCTAAGTATCGTGATAATATCGTATCGTGAGGTCCCTGGCAATTCCCAGCCCTAGTAATGAGGCATTTCACTTGGGTGCTAAAAGTGATGGTGCCCAAGAGATGCCAGAAGAGTAAGTCTACCCCCCACTACACACACACACACACACACACACACACACACACACACACACACACACACACACACACACACACACACACACACACACACACTGCAGAAGCTCAGTGCTCTAAACCACATGCCCATTGAAATGTTATCTTGGTCTCTTTGTCTCAGATTACCACTGTAACCCCTAGTGAACTCTTGGCGAACTTGTCTGGGAGGGGTACCCAAAGGAAGCAACAATGAACACTATGAAACCCAAGACATGGATTGGAAAAAAGGAACATATTACAGTGACACACTTTGGTAATGTACTGAATCAACATCTGTACATTTCTACATGCACCCACGTCTATATGTATAAGGAGCATGGTTAGGGATTGGTTTATCATTTGTGCTGCTTGGCTTGGAGATGAACAGAGTCACTTCATCAATATTGTTTTACACATGCCTATACTGCTTTATTGACTAATGCTACTGTACAGGTATGGGTGGAAGAGAACTGGCATAGAGAAAGCAAGAGAAAGAGAGAGAAGGGAGAGAGCGAGAGAAGGGGAGGGAACCTGGAATAAAGAGGTGGGTAGAGTACTTGTTACTTAGGCCGTCCCAGTGATCGAGATTAAACCCTGGTTGGGGGGGGATCCTAGCCTTGGAGAAGCTGACGATGACGGGTCCTGGTGAGTGGATCAATGCTGGGTCACCACCCCGAAAACCCCTCACAGTCTGAGCCACTCACAGACAGCTGGGATTGGCCGATCGATTCACGTCCAGACTGTGGGGATGGGGGGGTGTAAGTGTTTGTGTGCAGTGTTTCCCCTATATGCATTTAGCAGTTGCACATGGGCGCTGCGAAACCGTGGCCGCCAACTATTTAAAAAATAATAATAATCCTGCCACCGCTGCTGAAAGAAATCTAGGGGAAACACTGGTGTGTGTGTAAATGGAGGAGGGGGGCATCATTTAGCCACTGTGTTAATCAAGGAGGAGGACAAGGGCACAGCGGAGCAGCACTCTGGGGTCAGGGACGCTGGGGCACTCCATTTTCCTGCTGTGCTCTTATTAACCGCCGCTGAAAACCCCTGGAGTCCACACCACCCCCACCGGCCTCCAGCCCCCAGTCGCCTCGGCTACAAATTAATGACAAGGGCTAAAACTCCTCATGCTGGCCCATAACAAGCCTCTCAATGAGGCCATTCATGCTCCGCTTGGGGACCTGCAACAGCTCTCTGCCTCTGACCTCCATTCTACAGCCAAGTACAGGGATCGGGCGAAGGAGAGAAGAGAGGAGAATCGTACGGTCACTCCGCAGCCCCACCCAGTCATTGTGATAAATACAGCTTGCTCCACTCTCCAATACCACTCAGCACCCAAAGCATAAAGGGACGGTGTGTGTACTTGTGTGTGTGAGGGTGTGCACGTTTGTGCATGCATGTGTGCATACGTGCGCAATGTCTATCGCCAGACACCCATGACTACGCTTGCTTCTCAATACCAAGTGGTCATAAAGGTTATGACTGGCCGCGGTCAATATCGGCAGCTAGATGAAGTGGGCTCTAATTGTCCTGACAGCGTCCAAGCACTCCATCTGTCAGCATTCTCATCGCTGGAGGACTGGAATTCTGAGCTCAGACGTGCAAGCTGCTCGCAGTTGTCTCCCAAATGTCACATTTGGAGTGGCGTCAGTGATGCTTATTACAAAAAAAAGAGAAGAGAGATTCATGGGCAAATAGAGACAAGGAGAAATGGTTTCTGTTGAGCGTCATAAAGCCTTAGGGATACTTTAAAAAAATGAGTTTTCTATTAGGTTTACCTTGAGTTATTCCCACAAACTGCAAAACATTGAGTGTATGAATGTTCATCCATATGCGACTAAGGCTGAGGGATGTTGCAAATCACAAACCCACAAACCAACGGAATCACTGTTTACATATACACATCAGTCGACTTACTTACATTCAAAAATATATAATTTAGCAGATGCTCTTATCCAGAGCGACTTACAGTAGTGAGTGCAAACATTGTCCTCCCTCCCTCCCTCCATCCATTCTGCCTCTCCTCCTCTCTCATTGCCTGGGCCCTGCTGATTGGATCTAATGAAGTGTCTCTTCGTGCTGCAACATGTCCGCTCTCTGTGTGTGGCGTTCGGCTAGTTTGCCTGCTGTGGACAGCTCAATTTATCACAGAGCAACAAGGCCAAATGGGGCAGGTGGGCCTTGCCTGGCTGGATGGAGCAAGAGGAGCCCGGGCCGAGAAAATTTACCGCACAGCGCAAGTGTCAGGGCACAAGCGAAGAATTCAGAATTACATTTCCTAGATGAGGGTGCCAAACGTGAGTCACTATGATCAAACGGCAACTACCTTTATTTCTCCTGGTTTTTTCCCAATATTTTGGGCATGTTTTGTTTTGCTTTCTCGTCTAAGGAGAGGAAGGGAAAGATGACGGCGCGTGGCACTCAGATCCGAAGCTGCTCAGATAGGCTGCAAAGGCAGCAGGGTTTGGCAGCGGAGCTCAATGGGAGTGGGGCGTGAGGCACACGGGCAGGCATGGGCACCCACAGGAGACAGACCCTCTCACGGTGGTGCGTGTGCCAGGGCTAGCGCTCATTACCCAGGCTCCCTACCCGAGCTGTCTGTGCCACACAGCTCGTTAAAACACCGCTACTGCCACACTGCCTCTCTTAACACTCTGGCAAATCACTGTCCAACGTGTTATTAGGGCCTTCCACCCCCACCTGGGATATGGATGCCTGATGAAGACCTAAGGGTCGAAACATTGTTATAAATAAAAATCACCTGGGAGCTTGAGCAGCGGATTTCTTTCTGTTTTCCATGAATTTGCCTACAACTCCAGCACCTGCAGAAAGTACCTGGATGTGCACATGTTCTTCAGCTTTTGTACTCGGGAAAAGTTCCAACTGCTTCAGCAGAACTTCATAGGCTACTCTGTTTTTGCAATGGCTTTTTTGCAGACTGTACTGTACCGTACCATAATGTCTAGTGTGCCTCACTAGCATTGCAGAGGATCAATAGATTTAGCAACAGCTCAAATGAATCACAGCTTCTATCCATAAGCATTGTACTTCCGCATGCACTGAGCGTTCACCTTCGGACACCTAAGAGAGGGATATTGCTGTAGCCTTAAGTAGCTACCATTGGAGGGAATGCGTCTGGAAAACCAGACACAAATAATGATGAATGGGGTAATGATTGTAAGGCAACCAGATACCTACCACGAGGGACTGTCAGTGAGTAAGTGGGTGTGCATGGACATGCACTTATTGAAGGGTACTAAGGCCCTATGTCAGTGTTGTAGTACTCGAGACCAGCAGAGTAAAAAACTCAAATATATACACTCCTTTCTTGAAACATTAATATCTTAGCCTATTGAAACCTGGGCATCCTACTTTATTCGAAGATGACTGTCCTTTACTTTCGTTGAAAAATATCCTCACACTTTGTCCGGATTTCCTTGACTCGCTGGTAGAGAAGAGTGGGGGAAATTGTTGGAAAGTTGTGCGGCCACTATTAGTAAAGGGGAGACCGGGGGAAAATGTAACAGTATTTATATCTATTATAGACATGTTTGCGCAGCGGCAAACCTATTGGACCTAGCTAGGCCTTCAGTGTGTGACAGCCTCTAGATGCTGAAAGGACAACAACCGTAATACCAGCGCACTCATGTAGGAGAGTTCACTTTGTAAAACACATATGGCAGTGGTGTAGTGGAGGCTATACGCAGGTATAAGCCGTATACCCACTTTCTTTCAGTGGGCATTGCTTACACTCACATCTTAATCCCTACTGATGCGCATTAAAGTAGTGTAGTGGAGGTATACGACTTATCAATTATGAAGTACAATACAGAAATCATGTACAAAGTAGCCTACACAATCTCAAAGCACGTGAAATATATTCACATGCACGCCGCACACATTGCCTAGTTTCAGCGGAATATCTTCTGCAGGCAGCAAGAGCGCACAGCTCTCAACTGGTTGTTGCATGGAGCAGCTCACAGAACAACGACATCGGTAGCCGGTAGGGTAGGTAGGAAAGACATTTCAACATAGGATAACTACCAGTAAAGGCTAACTAAGGCAACAATGGGTATGCAAACCAGGTATTGAAAAAGTTTGGTCTGAAGTCTTGTTTTGTAAGCTATTTGCAATGCGCAATTCAGTCATCATACACTGTTTGCATTAACATTTCTAAAGGCTTTCCCAAAAAATCTTCACAATTAAATTAAAGGCCTACCTGACAGAATGATATCATGCTGATTTGTATCAATGGGGAGGGCATTTGTTTTGCTCATTTGAATTAAAGGGATACTACACATTCCCCAAATATATTTGTTCGATTTTTCCCAGACCTCAAAAATGGTCTCCTGAAAAAGAAGTGTGATTTTGAGAGTGGAAATCAAAGAAAATCTATAGGAATACCCGTTACCCACTTCTCCAGGCACCATTACACCATTGCATAGGGCCGACGGAAAGACAGCAGTCACACACAGCATGATGTTAAAGGATAAACAGTCCATCAACTCAGATATAATAAGCCAGTAGGTCCCAATCATAAGAATACAAAAACACAACCATTAGACTAAGCATTTCCCAATCGAAATGTACAACTATTACTTCCCATCACAAAAAATATTTTACGTTTAGCGTACAAAGTAACCAGTGATCTAAAGTTTAAATGCAACAATGTTTCACACACATAAGTTATTTTCAAAGAGATGGCTAACGAGCTGCAATAAAAAAACAGTTCCACTCACCAAATGATCATTTGAAACTTAATTTCTTGTTGAAAGTTATTCTTGAAAGAGGATAAGCTAACAAATTAGTAACAACATCCTCTTTGATAACACCTGCTGCAGCCGCTGCAAACTAGCCTACAACAGAAGCTAGCTAGCTAGACCCTGGTAAAACTACTGCTCGCTAGGAGAAGGCAGAAATGTCCATACGTTTTTGTAAAAACTTTTACAAGTCAAAATGTGATTGGTTGATTCCACTGTCACTTCAAAATGTTTCCCTAATACAGTTGAATGGCAGATGCCTACTATCTAGCTTCTGATGGCCTAGACAATAAACTTAGCTAGCTAGATGACTCACGTTTCTGATTGGATACTTTTTTCGCTTCAGTGTTAACCCTTTCCTTTCCAACAAAAACTTAAACGATCAAATCAGAACATCATTGAAAATAATAATATATAATAATATATATATATATATTTTTATAAAACCTTAGCCCTTCTCTGAAGGCATAGAAGGCCCTCAATGTTCCCCACTGTGTTTGGGTTAGTAATATTTTATAGAGTGGCTCTATTTGCTCTCAACATGCATTTTTTCACTATTCTGAATGTCTAAAGAATCCATATGTTCTTCTGAAATATGAACACAGAAATACTGGACATTTTGAACTTTTACTATGGTGGCGATTTGACAAAATTACAATCATGGTCTTGAATTGGACTCACATTTTTCTGTTCTCAGTCTTGACTCGGTCTCTGACCCCTTGTCACTCTCCTGGTCTCGGTTTTGACTCGGTCTCGCCCCCCACCTCCTGTCTTGGTCTTGACTTGGTCTCACTTTAGGTGGTCTCGAACACAACACTGCCCTATATACCTTTGGTCCGGGAAGTGTTCGGATGGTCCCAAATCAACCCCTAAAGCCTTGTGGATGTCTGAGAGGACCAGATGGTTTTAAATATATTACAAAATTGTAAGGGTGCCATCTTGCCGTTCAGATGTCCATATCTGTATTCAGGGTTAATTCTAGAATAGGATTAAATCTATATCATCCACACCCCCCTCTACAGTGATAACACTTATGGAAGATTCCTAGTAATCCGCCTTCTACACCCGGACTCCCGGTAGCCCATTAGGCCAACTGGCAGGTTAATTGGCCATGGCGTGGAGTGCTGTCTTCACACACCGGCCTGGATGCCTTCTGGCCACAGCACCCTTCCAAGAACATATCTCTCAATCTGCCCCCCGGAGATGGACCGTTTTAGAGCAGACACAAATAACAGTGCATAGGGGGGAGGACGAAAGAAGAGAACAAATTGTGCAAATGAGGAAGACATGTACAGTACAGTCCATTCCTTATGCCGCACATCTGAAAATTATTATTATATTACAAAAATGTTTTTTAAAGACAGAGTGCACACCGTATAAGTGCACACACTGTTCAGTACACTGCACTTCACTCGTCCAAATTGAAATACATTCTCTCTCAGTGCTTTGGGTATCTCCAGATGCTCCAGTCTAGTGCAGACACTCACAACAATCCCAGCCATTACATTTATCAGGGTTTGACTGGATACTACATTTTACACTACACTACATATTACACTACCCTACATATTACACTACACTACATATTACACTACCCTACATATTACATTACACTACATATTACACTACCCTACATGTTACATTACACAACATTTCATATTACACTACACTACATATTACACTACACTACATATTACACTACACTACATATTACATTACACTACATTACATATTACACTAGACTACATATTACACTACACTACATATTACATTACACTACATTACATATTACACTAGACGACATATTACATTACACTACATTACATATTACACTAGACTACATATTACACTACCCTACATATTACATTACACTACACTACATATTACACTACACTACATATTACACTACCCTACATATTACACTACACTACATATTACACTAGACTACACTACATATTACACTAGGCTACATATTACACTACCCTACATATTACACTACACTATATATTACACTAGGCTACATATTACACTACATATTACACTAGACTACACTACATATTACACTACACTACATATTACACTAAACTACATATTACACTAGGCTACATATTACACTAGACTACATATTACACTACACTATATATTACACTAGACTACACTACATATTACACTAGGCTACATATTACACTACCCTACATATTACACTACACTACATATTACACTAGGCTACATATTACACGAGGCTACATATTACACTACACTACATTACATATTACACTAGACTACATATTACACTACACTACATATTACATTACACTACATTACATATTACACTAGACTACATATTACACTAGACTACATAGTACACTAGGCTACATATTACACTACACTACATATTACATTACACTACATTACATATTACACTAGACTACATATTACACTAGACTACATAGTACACTAGGCTACATATTACACTACACTACACTTCATATTACACTACCCTATATATTACACTACCCTACATATTACACTACCCTACATATTACACTAAACTACATATTACACTACCCTACATATTACATTACAGTACATTACATATTACACTAAACTACATATTACACTAGACTACATATTACACTAGACTACATATTACACTAGACTACACTACATATTACACTAGGCTACATATTACACTAGACTACATATTACACTAGACTACACTACATATTACACTAGGCTACATATTACACTAAACTACATTACATATTACACTAGACTACATATTACACTACACTACATATTACATTACACTACATTACATATTACACTAGACTACATATTACACTAGACTACATATTACACTACACTACATATTACACTACACTACATATTACATTACACTACATTACATATTACACTAGACTACATATTACACTAGACTACATAGTACACTAGGCTACATATTACACTACACTACACTTCATATTACACTACCCTATATATTACACTACCCTACATATTACACTACCCTACATATTACACTAAACTACATATTACACTACCCTACATATTACATTACAGTACATTACATATTACACTAAACTACATATTACACTAGACTACATATTACACTAGACTACATATTACACTAGACTACACTACATATTACACTAGGCTACATATTACACTAGACTACATATTACACTAGACTACACTACATATTACACTAGGCTACATATTACACTAAACTACATATTACACTAGGCTACATATTACACTACACTACATATTACACTAGGCTACATATTACACTACACTACATATTACACTACACTACATATTACACTACCCTAAATATTACATTACACTACATATTACACTACACTACACATTACACTACCCTACATACTACATTACATATTACATTACACTACATATTACACTACACTACATATTACACTATCCTACATATTACATTACACTACATTACATATTACACTAGACTACATATTACACTACACTACATATTACACTACATATTACACTAGACTACACTACATATTACACTAGGCTACATATTACACTACCCTACATATTACACTACACTACATATTACACTAGGCTACATATTACACTAGACTACATATTACACTACACTACATATTACACTAGGCTACATATTACACTACCCTACATATTACACTACACTACATATTACACTAGACTAATGTAAATGATCCCTACTCTGGCTCCTCCTGCTTGCTCTGGTTGCTCTTCCTGATGTGAGGAAACAAGGAATGGAAGGAATGGCGCCTCTATGGCACCGCCAAATGTGCCTGGTGATAAAACACCGGCTCCTCTGGTGCTGTAAACCAGTCAGCGCCGCAAGAACTGGTGGAGTATTGAGAGGCGCCCAATCAGAGAGCTGTTTCTGGCTGCTTGGGCAACGCTTCCCTCCTGCTCTACACCACACCACACACACACGCTCTCTCTATCCCTCTCTTTCTTTCTCTCACACACACACACGCTCTCTCTATCCCTCTCTTTCTCTCTCACACACACACGCTCTCTCTATCCCTCTCTTTCTCTCTCTCACACACACACACGCTCTCTCTATCCATCTCTTTCTCTCTCTCACACACACACACGCTCTCTCTATCCCTCTCTTTCTCTCTCTCACACACACACACGCTCTCTCTAGCCCTCTCTTTCTCTCTCTCACACACACACACGCTCTCTCTATCCCTCTCTTTCTCTCTCTCACACACACACACGCTCTCTCTATCCCTCTCTTTCTCTCTCTCACACACACACGCTCTCTCTATCCCTCTCTTTCTCTCACACACACACACGCTCTCTCTATCACTCTCTTTCTCTCACACACACACACGCTCTCTCTATCCCTCTCTTTCTCTCACACACACACACGCTCTCTCTATCCCTCTCTTTCTCTCACACACACACACGCTCTCTCTATCCCTCTCTTTCTCTCTCTCACACACACACACGCTCTCTCTATCACTCTCTTTCTATCACACACACACACGCTCTCTCTCTCTATCCCTCTCTTTCTCTCTCTCACACACACACACGAGCGTAGAGCAACACCCCACCACACACAGGAAGCGATGCTCATTTCTAAAACAAGGGCGCTTTTTTCTCTCTCCCCTCTCCGGCTGAACCTTAACCCCCAAATAGATGTGGAAATAGGCATATCATCTAGGGAAATAGGGCAGCGCCGCTAACCTCATTTTATTCTCCCCTTTCCAAGAAATAGGCAAAAAAAATATTAAAAGATCAAACATGGCCTCCGTGTAGTCAGGGATTCTAGACACGTCTCCTCGCCACCTTTTTATTCCCTCCATCATCTGTCAGATGGAATCAGTTCAGACCTGGGTTAGACACACCTGCTCCCTGGACTACCGGCGGTGCTTGTCCTCCGGGTTGCACTGCACACTTAGCGACACACATTGGAATGCTGAGCTCACAGAAGTGTGCACACACATGCTTACACGGACACACACGGACACCTGCCCTCACATGGGCCTTTAACCCCATCATCCTCTTTCTTGCTGAGTGCTGATAGAAGTTATGAAGGAATTGAGGGTAAAAGTCATGCAATGGATAAGACTGGTTTAAAGTAGAGCATTTGGGGGGCTGAGGTGTGTGTGTGTGTGTGTGTGTGTGTGTGTGTGTGTGTGTGTGTGTGTGTGTGTGTGTGTGTGTGTGTGTGTGTGTGTGTGTGTGTGTGTGTGTGTGTGTGTGTGTGTGTGGGAGGGCTGGAAGGGGTCTGAATACTACCACCATGTGGTACTTGACCCACTTTTGGTAAATTGGTACTGTAAGTCATAGAGGTTGCTAAGTCAAAGACATTTTGTATTAAATATTTTGTCTGTGTCTAATGCATTTAAAGTGCCTTCTATCATTGAGTATGTTTACATGCACACTAATAATTCGATATTAAACAGATTATGGCAGTAGACCGAGTATGGCATTAGTCATGTAAACAACTTACTCTGCTTATCGTAAGGTCAAATTCGAAATAAGCATACGCCCATTAGAACTGGATTTCTGAGAAATCGTTTGAATGATTAGGAGAATCAAACAGGCATCCCAGAAATAACACAGTGGGTAGCCTGATTTCAGATGTGTCCATGTAAACAGGATTATTAGGGAAATCGTTCTTCTTGCAAAGCATTTGAACGTTTTAATTAAACTATTATCTTAATCTGAGTACTCACAATAATCGTATTATTGTGTTCATGTAAACATACCCATTGTCATAGCTATATTTGCTGTACCACAAAAGGTTTATAGCTTTATAAATACATAAATGACTATAAATACATGTGTAGTGCATTATACGCGCAGTGTGTGTGCGTGTATGTATTCGGTGTGCATATGCGGTGTGTGTGTGTGCAAGTGTGTGTGTGTGTGTGCCGTCTGGCAGCAAAGGTAGATCCAGCCTGCTTCTAATGAGGCATGGATCAAAGGACCACAGGAGGGAGATTAGAGATGAGTATTGTATTGATTTTTAATTGACTGGAGTGGAGTTGGAGAGCGAGGGAAGGGTGGCCCGGGCCACATTATGAAATGAGCTGGAGCTGTCACTCACTGAAGAGAGAGGAAAGCGAGAGAGAGGGTATGAAACTATGGGAGGGAGAATGATAGGAGGAGCAT